ACATCTCGGAACAGATTAAGCGCGTCTGTGCCAAATATGCCATCTACATTTAAGCGCTCCACCACAACAAGCGGCTGCTCTAACTCGAGAGCTCCAAGCCGAATGGGTAATTAATCACACCATCAACATGCAGCCGTTTGCCAGCCATATTGTTCAGGTTTAACTCGCAAGGCCGTAACGAAGCCTTCGTCAGTCCACGCGCCTTTAACACGTGAGCGCCCACCAGGCACGCTACGGCCCCGGTGTCGATCAGAATATCTATCGGCACACAGTCAATGTAGCCCGTAAATACGGCCTCGACGTCTTGAAGCGATCCGATGATGCGATTACACTCGGGTATGGCGTCGGTGTCACAGCCCGAACTGTCGTCCTCTGGAGTTTCGAAAATCTCGACCAATCCCTGTTTCTACTGCTGAACCGCATAAGTATCAGACACCGCGTAGCCATAGTGCTCGATATCAAACGCTGGATCCTCGATCAAACAGTGTGACCCGAGCACTTCAGAGTGTTTGGCAAACAGGGACGAGCAGTCGAAATGCACGTGCCTGTGTCTTCGCTGACTCCCGTTCGACAGCCGAGACGTCTTGCATGGGGCCCACAACCCAGTTCCTTGAACGACCTTCTCCTCCATCAGCTCAGCTCCGTGCTTGAAAGCGTCCAAGGCAGCTTTCACTACACGCTCAACGAAACAGTTGTCCATTTGATCGACTAAGTCATCAAGCCGTTCGCGTATTCGGGCATTCCGGTTCACCGCGGGAGACATCTCAGCGCTGCTCTTGTCGTCGTCACTGTATTGTGCCTACTCACAAGCGGCACCCGGACGCCGGCCGGTCATTTCGTTTCGTTTCCTCTTTTACCAGACGATACACCACTTGTCAAGCCCACGCTATCCAGCGAGAAGGTAGGGTGCTCTCATCCCCAGTCAGATCATGCACACTGTCGACTGTACCGAAACTGTCCTCCTTGCAGATGCTGATATCAATCCCGATGTTATCCTCAACATCGTTCTCGTCACTCCTGACAGACTCCGCGTCCGCCGTAACGTATGCCTTGACACCCTCATTCCGGTCAAGGGCCACTCCACCCCCGACATCTCAGTCATCGGAGTCACTCTCCAAGACAGCGTTCACCTCGCCGTCTGGATTACTTCCGAGCTCACGGAAATCTCGGTTGACACGCTTCGCAGCTTCGGAAGCAGCAAGCGTTCTCCAATACCAACCGATACAGTATTCTGGAATGGATAGTTTGCCTGGCGAAGACTCCCGCGCCCTAGCCAGCGTTTTCTCAGGGGTCCCCAACATCACCCTCAACGTCAGTTCCTTCTGCTGTTTCTTGTTTTCCTTCACATTTCGTTTCAGTTCCACCTCGTCGAGAGGGTATATCCGGTCCTCGAGTTCCCTGTCATATTCTTCCTCCTCAGTCGGTCCGGATTAGTCGGCTCTTTCTGTCAAAGTGGCCAGCTCCTCGGGCGCAAACAACCTCACGTGGGGTTTGGGTGAGACTCCATCGTGGGCCTAGCCGTCCTTGTAGTCTGGGCCTCTATCCTCGTTCTCTGGACCAGGCTCTGTAGTGGCACCCACCGCCGTTTGTTTAGCCTTGATCACATCTGAGTCTTCTGCTGACTTCCTGAGTATTCCACTCTGGGGAGATGGCACGGTATCTGACCGTTCCCGCTGCGAAAAATGTAAAGAATCGGGGTTACCCCTATCACCACTTAATGCGTCTGACTCCGCGCCAGAGATATCTGAAATTGTAAATGCAACTGCAGCAACCATTCCCATTACCCGTATCACTTGTTCTGCTTATACTCTTCAACTTGTCAGTAATCTCAAAGTTCTCTTGAAACGTTCACGTCACGACGCGCGGTCCATCCCAGCATCCTATTTCCAGCGCTCGGTTATCTCGCTTCTGCCCATCAGAGCTCTCGTCCGAGGCTGAATTGTTACCAGTCAAACCCTCGTCGACCGGGTTTCCGTACTCGTGTAGCCGTCAACTGTGACAGCGTTCGCACCTTCAACCGTGGCGGGGGCGGCGGCGACCTCAGTCACCGTAGCCTCCAAGTCACCCTCGTAACCGTGTTTTTTGTCGTCATTGGATTCATCTGGCGTCTTGACGTCCCCAAATTCCTCGCAGTCCTCGTACGAGTCCGTATTCACTTGTTCAACGTGTCCAATCACGTCATTGTCTGCCAACTCATCACCGCCGTAGTCGTCGTCAAAGAGTCCACCTTGCTCGTGACTCTCCTCTCCTCCCTTGTCGTACTCAGCAGCGCTCACATTCTCCGGGACTATCACTGATGTCACCTCGTAGTACACCTCGCGCTTGACGCACAACCCAGCGGAGTGTTTCTCATCGTAATCAGTTCCAGTCTCATTCAGGCATTTACCATTGCACTGTTCCCACCGGAAACGGGATACACTTCCCTTCCAAACTCAGGATTCACTTCGAACTGCCCACACGCCACACTCAAAGAACTCGAAGCATGTCCCCTGGTGCCGTCCACCGGACGAGAGGAAGGAGCGGCACTCCCTTTATCTTCCTCCTGCCACCGTCATTGTTGGCTAGGTGTTTGACCTTGCATCGGAGGAGCGTTCGTAGCCCTCTTAAGTGATTACAGGGTCGGACACTCGGACACCATGTGATCTCTGCTGTCACACATATATCACGCGCACGCGTTACAGAAATGTCCACCCGAGCGATTCCTCGGATGCTGTTGTGGCTGCTGTTGCGGGTTGCGAAGGTAGCTGCTGTTGTGAATGCTGCGGGGGTGGACTGGTACACTCCACACCAATATGACTCTTCGCCTTGCACGACGAGCAGGTAGCGTACTGTCGGCGACAGTTGATACGGCTACAACCCAGCGAATTACAGTGCCTACATACCATAAGACCATTCTGAGTGTACATCTTGTCATTAATGGATGTTGATAAGGACGAATGGCTTTAGCAAGAATCAAAATATAGTGGAGCCGCACACCGTTGACTTCTTGTCATTAATGGATGTTGATAAGGACGAATGGCTTTAGCAAGAATCAAAATATAGTGGAGCCGCACACCGCTGAAATTTTGTTTTACGATTAATCATTTCCTTCGGGAACAACAATAAGCTTCCCGAAGGAAATGATTAATCGTACAACAAAAATTCAGCCATCTTTTCGTAAAATTGTAAACAGCAGCTGAGATTGTTATATTGCCTCTTTGTACGTAGAGGCGTTGCTTTGGTCTGGGAGGACATCTGAGCTCAACAAGTTGCAATTTTCGAAGTGCTGATACCTAACGATCGAATCAATGAAATAAGCATTTCTTTTGACACGCATGATTATCTTTAATGGAGTGTTAGACCCAAAGATAACTTCACCCACTGGGTTGTTTCATGTCACAAGATAAAAGACTTCCACTCAATTCCTTCAAGCAACATTAACTGGGCCAATGGGTTTTGATGCTACCCGTGGCCGCCACAGACACTGTATTTCTCTGGTGTCCACCGGATATTGTTTATAAGAGGCCAATCAATCTATTCTAGTACCAGGTGGCGCATTCATTTACAAACAGATACAAATAAATATGTTTAAAGAGAGAATATCACCATATTTTTTGTGATATAAAAACGATACTAACGATAATAGGTTTACCAAATATAGAGGGCTGTAGAAAGAACTTTCTTCCAGTACGAGCTCGTACAAATGAGTCACATAAGAAGTAAGAGATTTTCTTTAGGTTGAGTGCCATCCCCGGAGAAACTGCGTGTTCATAAAGCCGTGTTCCGCGACGATTTACAGTAAAGCGGTCAGAATTACACTTTTGAAATTACTGCAGTTTTGGCACAGATGCTGCATTTCGTTCACCTGCGCCCGTCGCTGTACAATCAAATTGGAATGATTTACCAACGCAACTACAAGGCGATTGCGAGTGTAGCCTCGTGGCCACGTCGATTACAATATATGCATGGAAATTAAGGCAAACTTTTAGCTAAATATTAGGAAATGTTTAATTTTTTCACAAGCTCGGGCTGTCATTTTTTGCTCCTAAAAATGTCGGCAAAATCACAATAAAGTATATACATAATTCTACTTTGCAATATATTAGGCTTTTCCCAGCCTACGCGCTGCCCTATAATAGACCTGACCAGTGGTCACGTATACAAGTCAAAAGTGATATACATGTATGTCATTTCATAATTATCAATAAATCATAAGAGTAAAACGCCGCCTACTTTAGTCAGTGCTCTCGGATTTTTCAGGATTCAAGGGTCGATTTGTGGATAGATGCTCCTGCCGTACTAGGTAATACGTGTTCGCGTAGCCAAATTACACCTGGGCTAGGCTCAACTTACGTACATGTACAATTAAAAAAGGCACAATCATTGAATGCGTTGAAATAAAATCAGAGTTATTTCCTCATGCTATTGCGGAAGGGCAGCCAAGCGGTGTCGCCAGGGGGTCCCAAGAGTGGACGTCTAGCACGGCAGCGTGGGTCGAGCGCTGAGGCGGCGTTGTAGGCGGAGACAGCTCGACTGGGCTTTACCGATGGGGTTCTGAAGTTTGTGTTGGGGCAGCACTCTCTGAGCCTACAAAGGATGGAGACGTCGAGCTTAAGGGTGTCCTGGAGCTTAAAGCGGCGGATGTCATCACGCCACTGCCTCACTCGGATGTTTGGCTGCGTATTCGCCAGAAGGAGGGGCCTGCTGGCAAGAACTATAAGCTGGATCTGAAAGGTACGACCTGGTGTGATATGGGATGAAAAAGTGTATATGGTGGCTGCTGATACTTCAATGGCAGCTTTGAACTTGCAGGAGCGACAGGAGTGAATCGTAGCGCTCCGCAAAGCTTGTCGGGTGTGGGGGCTTTGTCAGGTTATTAAATATTGAAAATTTTCTCGTACTAATCCGTGTTTCATCCGCTCTGTTCGCAGAGCGAGCAATTGATACGCCAGCGGTCAATCCAGAGGGGCGTTAGTTTGCTACAAGTACGCTCCAGTAGGTGGAGCCTGAACGCGAAAGCGATGGCTGAACTTCTTTCATCCCCCATGGCGCCTGACAACGTAGGCACGCCTCGAGTAGATTTGCGTGCTTCTTTTCAGATTTTCCATGAAATGGTGCTGCTGAAGAAGCTCCTTAATAAGAAAAAAAGTACGTGGGGGCCTCCTTCGCAGTGGTCAATGGCACAGTATCAAGAGCTTGTTCAGGGCATTTGTCTCGCTCAAGAGAAATCAGGGAGCTCCGAGCCTAATCCCGACAGCATTTTGGCGGAAGCATTCAAGTTGCGGTACCAGTTTGAGGAAATTCCAGAGAATCAACGAAAGCTTTCACGGGACGTAGATCACGGATGTCAACAGCAGAGAAACTAAAAGAAGTCGAACTTGACTCCCCTGTTGCTTCGTCTCAAACGTCGCCGCGAATACGCTGCCCCTCGTTTCACAGCTACCCCGCAACTTTTGAGGAGCTGTCCGACCGAGCTGGGTCAGCAGCTAAGTCGGCGTCTAGCGACAAAACGGACGACACGCGAACGAAGCAGCCATGGAGTCTGGGTCGAGGCAATAACGATGACTTAATTGTGGAACAAAAGAGTGTCACTGTTGGCCAAGTCAACTCGGAGGAAGGCATTGTAAACGCATTGTCGAGCCGTTTTGACGAAGACCGCATCTACACGTACGTCAACCACCACATGATAATCGTGATGAACCCGCACCGGTTGCTACAGACTGCTCGATTCACGTCAATTTACGACGAGCAGGTTGTACTCACTTACGCTGACACGGCAAATGCTGAGACAGTACTGGCTCCGCATCCATTTGCTATCGCGAAACAAAGTCTAGTTCGACTTTTCTTCAATAATAGGCGCACAGGTGGTAATTCGTCGTTAGCTTCGTCGACACTGAGCAACCGTACTATGGCTGAGGGTCGCGGGCAATCCCTTTGTCTTTGCGGTGGGAGTGGTAAGACAGAACTTGCCAAGGACTTGCTGAAATACCTGGTACTTGTGGCGCAACCAGCTCTTTCTGAGGGTTCGGAGGGTCGCCAGCCCAAGATCAAGCTGTTTACTAGCTCCACTAAAAGTACCATTCAGATGAGAACAGAGGAAACACGAACGATCGCTCTCCTCGAAGCTAAAGGTGTGGAGAAATACGAAATCGTGCTGCTGGATTGGCATCCTGAACGCTGGGAAGAAATGGCATCAGTGAGTCGAAGTAAGCGTCTCCCCCAGGTGCACGTGGACAACCTTTTCTTTGGCTTTTACGACAAGTTGGAGCATCTTTAGGATGAAGAACAATTGTTAATGTATCGTACGAATCCACATGCGGCGAAGAAACTGAGCAGAGTTTTGGAATCCAATATTATTCTGGAAGCGTTTGGAAATGCTACCACGTCGATGAACCTTAATTCGTCAAGGTTTGGAAAAGTGACAACTCTGCAAATTGCCTTTGGGGGGAGTTTCAGATTTGTGGCTGTCACATATCGCCGCTTTTACTAGAAAAATCCAGCGTCATGAGTGAAAGAGGTCGTGAAGCTGGAGACCAGAATGAATTGAACTTTCACGTACTGTACGCGATGGTGGCCGGTGTCAACGCCTTTTCCTTTTATGCGGTTGCTAGCGAAGGAGTTGCATCTCGATGGTGTAAAGTGCTCCGCGTTTACTGATCTCGGTCGCAGCGACCACAAGCCGGCAGAGCTTATGAGCGAAGCGGAAACGTGGAAAAAGGATGTGGAAAGATGGCAGCAGATTATTGGTGGGCTAGATGAGCTGAACGTATCCCCAGACGAGCAGAAGGCAATTTTTAAAGTGCTAAGTGCTGTTCTGTGGCTTAAAAAATATTGAGCTTGACTATCATGAGACATCGAGAAAGCTTTTGATGTCTTCTGCATGTACGGGGGTGCCTAATGCACCTCAAAGAGTGGTGGAACTTGTAGAGTTGGAATCAGTGGAGAAATTGAAACGAATGATGACGACAAGAAGTGTAAGTTTGCAATCGACGAGTGAAGCATAAGAGGTGACTCTGGAGCAGGGTCAGGTAAAGCATGTTTGAGACACACTCGCACGTTTGTTATACCAGCTCGCGTTCGAGTACATCGTTACCGCAACGAACAAAGTAACAAAAATGAGAGGTTCATGCACTGATAGGAATGAGCTTCGTGTGGACTCCAACCCGATTATCCCACCAGGCATTTCACTGCTGAAGATTGTCGACGTATTTGGCTTTGAAGACCTCTCGCATAACTCACTGGGTAGGAAAGAACAAGTGGTCACAGCTGCCTACAATAACCGACCGTATTCGTCTATCCGTGACAAGGACAAGGACGTTCTTTTTATTAATGAGCATCCTCTTGGAATTTTCGCTTCGCTTGAGGAGCTGACTATTCTTCACCAAAACGAAAACGTGAGCGCGCAGCAAGAGGAAAAACGGAACAGATTGTTTGTACGCAACATCTACGACCGCAATCCGTCTCGATAACCTGAACCGCCTCGCGTCTTAAACAAGGGAAATCTTCGATTTACTGCATTGCCTAACAAATTACATCCGCACACACGTGGAAACGTTAATTTCGTGAAGAAAAACTCGGACTTTGTCTACTCAAGCCTGTTGGTGGGGTTCGAGACGTCGACTAATCCTCATTTCTGTCGAATGCTTGCGGAAAGCAATCAAGTGGGTAGACCTTTAAACACAAACAGTAGCACGTTTAGTTCAGCAGAGTCTCGACTACCTGGAGGTTGGGCAGTTTCGCTCTCACGTTAATGCCATCACGCCATGATGACAAGAACATGCCGCTCTACTTTCATTGTATTTGTCCCAACTTCAAGAAACAACCTTCCGTCGTGCTCAAGGATCTCGTTGAACCACAGTGTCGTGCACAGCGTCTAATTCGGCAAGTGGAAATTTGTAGGAATCCACCGTCATCATACTCGGCAATTGAAATCTCGAAAAGCGCTCTAGCGAGAGACACTAGTCTGTTGAGGGAGATCTACGTTTTGGATAACGTGGCTAGTGATGACAGCAACTTGTTGAATTGGCTCAGCGATCTTCTATATAGCGAAGACTACCCGAATCCAGAGAAAAGTGTTTCTTCTTCATCGATGGTGTAGTTCAAGTCAATTAGCCTTCTGGAAAAACTTGAGTTGCTACTCGAGGATCGAGAATCTGATGCCGCGACAAAAAAACAATCGTTGTTTCTTATGATCATGTGGGGATGCCGGTATGTTTAAAAAAAGTGTGAACGGCGGGGTTAATCAAATGATGTACTGGCTTGGTATGGCCCCCAAGGGAAAACACTGTCAAGAAGCTGCTAACGAAGTATAATGGACGCGAGGGCGAGCTTCGCTCGAAGTTGGCGCTGAAGAAAAAGTCGAAGGTCCAGGAAGAGAAAACGGTAATCAGCTAGCAAGTAATCTCCAGTCGCATTGTCTCCGCACGCATGGTGGCCTCGACGCACAGGCAGTAAACGCTATTTTGCATGACGACACGATGCGCGAGTTGCTGCAGCAAAACGAGAAGATAGTGTTGGCGCTACGAGACATGAGTTTGAACCCAGACGTCCTCGAATCTCAATTGGGTGACCACGAGCTGCGAGGGTTTTATCAGAAGTTAATTGACTTCTTACAGTCAAAGAAAAAAGACACAGGATATAGTGCGAGCTCTCCTAGCCACACGACAAATGATCAGCCTCAGCGATCTCTGGATGAGCAAGTACTCGCTGCTGCTTCACTTGAGAATGGCGCGTTGTGGATGCGACTTGTGGATGAAGCAAGATGGGCAGCTTACCGTGATGCGTTGATAGATGACGAGGATCCAGAGCTGCTACTTTTTCATGCAGAAGAGGAGGATTCCGTCAATACCTTGAAGGGTTTTCTGGAGGTGCTTGAACTTACAAAGCAGCGTGAAGAAGAACAGAGCGAGCGCCTTGGAAGCTATCACCGACTTAGTTCAGCCGCCTGCATCTGATGAAAAAGAGGTGTTGGAGGTTTACAGCTCTGCTGGAGCCAGTGACGAAGATGCCGAGATGCTGATATTACTTTCGAGCGTTCACTTTGGGCCGTCACTGATGATCGCCATGAACCAAGGCTCATACTACGTGCAGGCGTTGCAGGACCCGATTTTAATGACCAGCATGCAGCAGGTACGGCTGGTGCAAGCGCTGGTTTTGTAATAGCCGTGCAATTCACGTTTGTGGCGATGTTGTGCTGCAGCTCATGGCCAACTTAAAGGACTTTGCGATAACGGCAACACTTCAAGAGCCTGTAGTGCGGGAGTTTTTCCTAAAGCTGATTGCGCTCTCCTGTAAGCCCGACAACGGTACAAGTTTTTGCTTGCTTGCGTACACTGATGTTTATTACCGGTATGTTTTGATGTAGTTGCGGTGCAAGAACAGAGTGACGAAGAGTGAGCTCTCACAACTCGTAGGCATGAGAGTATCCACCTATAAATGATAAGCCACGGAGCCAATCTATCGTTTAAGCCCATTTTCATTATTTTTGTTCGCTCTTCGCCATTCTGCACTCGAAACTATGCTTGCCGTCTAGTAACGGAAGTAGAGACCAGTGTCTTCGCGCTCATCGCCTTTTTGTGGCAGACCAGTCTCGCCCACGTCCCGCAGGATCTTGTAGCGCTCCATGTCAGCCTCGTACTCCTCGAAGGTCTTAGCGCACTTGCCGACGTGCTGCTCCGCCAGTTGCGCGTACTCGGCCGAGCACTACTGCATGAATTGCGTCTCCTCGGCCGTGAGGTCGCGCAGGTAGCGAGCGGGAACACCCGACCAGAGTTGACCCGAGGGCACCTGCTTGCCTTTCGTTACGATGGATCCAGCCGTAATGATGGACGCCACTAGTGCTTGTACCCTCACCGGACCAGATATCCCAGAGCTGCTGACACCAGAGCTTACTGTTACAGCACCAGAGATGGCGCTTGTGGCGGAGCTGATAGACACCTGGCCACTATTGTTCTTCGAGGATGACGCCGACCGCTCGTGATTTAACCCCACTCACACTGTTCGTGGCGGGATGTCACTTTAGCAGCAAGTTTGATGTCGCCGCCCCGCCAGCTTCACCGATTCAAACAGATAGCTTACCGCGCCTACAGTGCGTCCATGTGTACACCTTTGCCAGGTCAAGATGGTGCTACTCCACTTCAAAGTGGTGAAGTAACTAAACCTTTTTAAAAATTATTCTCAATTTTTACATTAGAGTTTATGTCACTTCACAAATATGTCGAGTAAACGCACTCCGTACTTCAAAGTGGTTTATTCGCAGTTCAAAGCGGATCAACCCTCCTGAGCGTGTGCGCGAGCACTTCATTGCCATTCCTCGCTCTCTCTTATCAATCTTTTACCAAGCCCTCAACCAAGCCAAGCCTCTACCTACCCCAAGATGCCCAGAGCCCCGCACCTCGCATTTGCCAGAGCTCGTGTCCTCGACTGCCTCCGTGTCGGCGGTGACTGGACGCTTGTGGCCGCCCACAACGGAATCCCCGCCACCACATCACGTCGATTTGTGGAAGCAAACGGAAGCACACGTCGCTGAACGAGCCGACTTGGTACTTGTACGGCTGGCTCCGTACTCTTCAATATAACCCCATTCAAGGTACGCAGTATACTGTATTACAATATTTTTTTAAATGGCATACTAACCGACTTTTGAACTGGTGCTACAGGGTGTTTTAGTGCTTTTAAGGCCAAGATCAAGGCCGACCTTGCCTTGCCCCGTAAAGGGCTGGTTGTGGAGCATCCTCGCGGGACGGTTGCGGCTGCTCGGATGGAGAAACTGGAACGCGCGGCGAGACGCCGCATCGGATGTATCGACACGCACCTTGCTAACAGGTTGACACTGCATTGCCAGCATTCCGTTGCTGCCGCGGAGCGCATGGAAGACATGCAGTACGGCACCTAGCTGCAGCTCGGACCACTTTGCTCTGCGTTTTCGCCACTTTGAATTTCCTTTTTAGTGCTACTTTTTCGTAATCAAATTTTTGTTTTCATTTTTTTAAAAAAATCCGGTTTGAAGTGGAGTAGCACCATCTTGGCCTGGCAAAGGTGTAGATGCACCGATCACACCCGCCTTCTCAGCATGGCTGTCGTAATGCGGCGGTTTTATGAAATACCAACTTCGAATTGCACCAAAATAGAGTTTATTTTGGGTGCAGTACTGTACCCTACTTTTATTTTAGGCAAAATGGACTACCGATGCTTTAGTTTGAGACTACAAAAACCCAGAATTAATGACGATTATGGACTACAAGAAACAGTCGATAGCTATGTATCGACCGGATTATATGTAT